GAAGAAGGTTTGTAATTAAAAACTCTATATTATAGTAAATATTCTTCATTGATTTTGTAGTTCTTGTTTATGTTAATTTAAGAAAAATTTTCTAGCATCGTGGACACAAGGCTTAAGATAGACTCCGTATGCATGCTCTTAAAGAAGATGTCTGAAATCTGTTGACAATTCTCTAGCAACTTCGAATGAAGTGTGATTGGCCCGCACTCCGCCACAGTCCACTACCTGCATACAAACGTTAACGCCTTTATTGTCAGACACTTTGTGTGTACGTGTACAATGTGTGTGTGTGTGTGTGTGTGTATATATATATATATATATATATATATATTTCTATTAAAACATAAAATTGCTTCTTTTGTAGAATGTATGGACATAAATATTATTTCTACTTTCCATTTTAGATATATTATTTGAGTATACGTCATCAGATTCCTGATCATCTAATACTGAAATATCTAAAAAGAAGATTTGCAAGAAAAGTGCTAAAAAAAAAGCAAACATGTAAGTGTACATTATCTTTCTTTTTATATCACTGGTTGTTATAAAAATGTAATTTATAGCACCCACATACTGTACAAAAAAAAAAGAAATTTTGTTCGCGACCGGTATTAAAAAATAGTACTGATGTCAAATCCAAAGCAGATAAACGAAATGATATAGCAAATGCTCAGCAAGATCCATTACTGTTAATGCAGGACGAACAACTACTTGGTAATCACATAACTTTTTTCTTTATTTCTTTAGTTACATAATTCTGTACATACAGAATATACATATGGATTAATTATATTCTCACATAAATTTTGTAAACTATAGATTATGCAAAAAAATTGGAAAAATCTCTCACAAGAGAAATGACAAATAATGAGGAAGAAACGTCTGAACATAAAGAGGAACAAATAGTGCTGAACAATAAGTCTACTAAAAAAAATGCAAGTGAGGTCGAAGAAAATACAGACAAAATTAATAATGATTTTAAATACAATTCACATGAAACAAAATATAATTTTACTCTAGGTAACTATTGATTCATTAAATAAGTGTTTAATTCTACAAGGTACAATTCAAAAGAAAGCTACAATTCTAATATTATTTTAAACATTTTCTAGAACAAACAGTAATTTTAAATGCTATAACGAAGATACGATTCAGTATAAAAAATATACAACAGGATGTACATTTGATGAAAAACAAACTATTTGGATACGAAATTGGTAAATTGGAAGCAGCTTTGAAGCAACATAAATTGGATATCCCCTTCAATGATTTTGACGCATGGGCTCAATTTCAAATTTTGATCGAGATGGATAAAACTATAAATGATTCTTTTGTAAGTTATATGAAACTAACACTTTCTTTTCCTTATGTTCAAACTAATTAATATTTTTAAGGTTACTACAATTGAGTTATGCTTAGATAAAGTATCTAATAATCCAACAAAAAGCATAACTAATATATTAAAAAAAATTATGACTCGAGAACTCGCAACACAGTTTACTGCAATAAAAAAAAGTACTAATAAAGAGAATATTTTTAAAGATCAAAAGGCATATCTCCCTATTAAAAGTAAGTAATAAGTTATTGTGTGTTAAAAGAATATTTTTTTGTTTATATAATTTACAAACTACTTTGTAATTTTATAGAAGTTATTAT